CCCTGAAAGGTTCAGGCAATATACAACCTTTATGGAGAACTGATTGATATGAGTGATGCCATGAGCGAGTATTTTTTGCAGAACTGAAGGTGATTGAATGATACAGTCCATGACGCCACAGGTAATGAACTCCTAACCCCCTAACTCAATGTCTATTGTTCACTTGATTTAGAAGGCCCACTTAAATCACTATTCTTGAGCAGTTAATTTCTCCTTATCACTCTCAACATCAGATGGTGTATATATATTGACTTATAAATAAATATAGAGACTTTTAAAGAAGAAATACAGCTTTAAACCACAAGTTAATACTTACAGAAAACACCTTCTCATTACATACAGAACAATCCCAGACATTAGAGGATGTCATATTTAAAATCAATTGATTCTCTTTATCCTGTCAATGTATAAATTAATATTACAAGAAAATTAGCAAATACAAAGTGCCATATCTGATTAAAATAGTGCCACAGAGCCATAACTAGTGACATATCTGATGCCATAGAGCCATACAATGTAGCTAGTGTGACATATCTGATGCCACAGAGCCATAACTAGTGACATATCTGATGCCACAGAGCCATATATACAGTGTGACATATATGCCATAGAGATATGGCTAGTGTGACATCAGATGCCATAGAGCCATAGCTAGTGTGATATATCTGATGCCATAGAGCCATAGCTAGTGTGACATATCTGATGCCATAGTGCCATAGCTAGTGTGACATATCTGATGCCATAGAGCCATAGCTAGTGTGACATACTGATGCCATAGAGCCATAGCTAGTGTGACATATATGATGCCATAGAGCCATAGCTACAGTGTGACATATCTGATGCCATAGAGCCATAGCTACAGTGTGACATATCTGATGCCAGAGCCATAGCAACAGTGTGACATATCTGATGCCAGAGCCATAGCTACAGTGTGACATATCTGATGCCATAGAGCCATAGCTACAGTGTGACATATCTGATGCCATAGAGCCATAGCTACAATGTGACATATCTGATGCCAGAGCCATAGCTGCAGTGTGACATATCTGATGCCAGAGCCATAGCTAGTGTGACATATCTGATGCCAGAGCCATAGCTACAGTGTGACATATCTGATGCCATAGAGCCATAGCTACAGTGTGACATATCTGATGCCATAGCTAGTGTGACATATCTGATGCCATAGAGCCATAGCTACAGTGTGACATATCTGATGCCAGAGCCATAGCTACAGTGTGACATATCTGATGCCATAGAGCCATAGCTACAGTGTGACATATCTGATGCCATAGAGCCATAGCTACAGTGTGACATATCTGATGCCATAGAGCCATAGCTACAGTGTGATATATCTGATGCCATAGAGCCATAGCTACAGTGTGACATATCTGATGCCATAGAGCCATAGCTACAGTGTGATATATCTGATGCCATAGAGCCATAGCTACAGTGTGACATATCTGATGCCAGAGCCATAGCTACAGTGTGACATATTTGATGCCATAGAGCCATAGCTACAGTACAGTTCTTGCAAAAGCTTTGGCTTTTGTGGCTTCATTGTCGCCTACGCATGGCTTCATTGTAGCATCAGCTTCGCGTCATTGAAAATTGAAGCTGTGTTTGCCTCGCTTATTTTGTGGCATCATTGTGGCCTCAGGTTCGCAGTCTCATGGCATCAACATGGCATCAGCTTCAAAGTATTGTGACATGAGTATGATCACATAATTTTCACACGGAAAGGCAGTAGAGAAAAACACATGTACAGAAGTTCGATATGTAATCGATTTGAAATTCAAGGCGGTAAGGGGAATAAAATAATATGATCAAGAGTGAAATGACATTTAAAAAAAAATATCTTGTTTAATTATTTAATGTTGCGAGTATTGGGTACCAAAAACTTTGTGAAGTACATTGCAATCTGCAAGGTGACGAGTGATAAGAAAATCGTGATAAATTTAAATCACACGATGCTATAGAGCCATAGCTACAGTGTAACATATCTGATGCCATAGAGCCATAGCTACAGTGTGACATATCTGATGCCATAGAGCCATAGCTACAGTGTAACATATCTGATGCCATAGAGCCATAGCTACAGTGTAACATATCTGATGCTATAGAGCAATAGCTACAGTGTGACATATCTGATGCCATAGATCCATAGCTAGTGTGACATATCTGATGCCATAGAGCCATAGCTACAGTGTGATATATCTGATGCCATATAGCCATAGCTAGTGTGACATATCTGATGCCATAGAACCATAGTTAGTGTGACATATCTGATGCCATAGCCATAGCTAGTGTGACATATCTGATGCCATAGAGCCATAGCTACAGTGTAACATATCTGATGCCATAGAGCCATAGCTACAGTGTAACATATCTGATGCTATAGAGCAATAGCTACAGTGTGACATATCTGATGCCATAGATCCATAGCTTACAGTGTGACATATTTGATGCCATAGATCCATAGCTACAGTGTGACATATCTGATGCCATATAGCCATGGCTACAGTGCGAC